GGCTCCAGTCTCACGGAGCAGTGCTGGGGAGGAACGCTGGCCACAGCTGCAGGGAGAGGCGGCCCAGCATCACAGCCAGGGGCGCCCCCATGGAACACGCTGCGGACACGCTGTGGGCACCCAGCCAGAGGGCAGCATCTGCCCTCAGTGCACAGAGCTCAGCAGGAAATACCTTTATGGCATTTGGGTGGGGAAGAACTTCTTAAATAAGACAGGAAGAAGTTCGCACATGAAACATGAGTGGGAGAGGCAGCCAATCAATGTTTCGCTCTCACCTCTCTCTCTCTCAATATCAATAAAAAGCAAGGCTCTCCTGAGGGCAGACTTGCTGGGCCTTGGCTGTGCAAGGCCCATTCTTAAAAATAAAAGAGACAGGTAACTGAAAGAAGATATTTGCCACACCTAACTTACAAAAGAAAAGGCTCAATTTTAAAAATCGGTAAAATATTAAAAACAATAAACAGGCATTTCATAGAAGAGAAAACAAAAAATAGCCCATAAAGACATGAAAAGATGCTCAATCCATCTGTTATCAGAAAAATGTATTTTAAAATCATAATAATATACCATCTTCACATGAAAATCTCAAAATTAAAGTGCTGCCAGTTGTGGGTGAGGTTGGGAGCTCAGCACTCCGGCCCGCTGCAGGCGGCAGTGTAAGCAGAGGAGTGGAGCACAGTCTGGAATGACTTAACCAGGTGCAACAGGCACAGCCAAGGCCCAGCAAGTCTGCCCTCAGGAGAGCCTCACAGAGCCCTCACCGGACCCCGGAGACAGGTACGAGAATGTCCTCATTACCATCACTTGCAATAGCAAACATCTGGAAACAGCCCAAATGCCCATAACAATAAAATACATAATGTCGCATGAAAGTATGCAGCAGTAAAAAGGATTGGATATGCCCACCTCATCACACAAGTGGGTCTCAAAATCCTAATAATGAGTGGAAAAAAGCAATCACAAAAGCATACAGAAGAGTTACTCCATGGACTGGAGAGGATAGGGAAGCCAGGGGTCTTTTATGGGGGTTTCTGGCCAGGAGCAGTCTGGCCCTGCCCTGCCCCTCACTACACTTCCTCCTGACAGCCAATCGAAACCCTCCCCATCCTCCTGACAGCCAATCGAAACCCTCCCCATCCCCGCTCACACCAGGCCGCCCTCAGCAATGTGTACTTTGGTATTTCGGTAAATGATCGCCTATAAAGATGCCCTGACCGGTTTGGCTCAGGGGATAGAGCGTCGGCCTGCAGACTGAAGGGTCCCAGGTTCGATTCCGGTCAAGGGCATGTACCTTGGTTGCGGGCACATCCCCAGTAGGAGGTGTGCAGGAGGCAGCTGATCGATGTTTCTAACTCTCTATCCCTCTCCCTTCCTCTCTGTAAAAAATCAATAAAATATATTTTTTAAAAAAAAGAAAGAAAGAAAGAAAAGCAGGGCTGGCGAGCACACTCAGGATGGCGCTGCCCCCTGGAGGGCCCCTTCGCATTTGTTAGGTTGGTATGGGTTCATGGAAGTTTACTTTATTTCCATTCTTTTAGCTTAACATGTACATTGTTATCGTGGGCAACTTTCCAGTTTTTAAAATAATTTAAAAACTAGTGCAATAGGCAGCGTCCATTCATACAGAGCCTGAGTGCTTGTTTCTGTGGATTCCAGCAGCCGACGGCCCGGCCTGCCAGCTGCCCAGAGGCGGGAGACGCTGCGGAGGGACGGCTGGAGCCTGGCTTCAGCTTTAGCCAAGTTACTCCACCACCTGTATCTTCATCTATGAGTTTGTAGAAAAAACTGCACGTGGTAGGAACTTGGTGAATATTTGTTGAATGAATGAGTCAATGATTTCTAAAGTCCCATCACAACTCCACCGCTCACCCACATGTATTCACTAGGAAGAGAGTGAGGCCACAGCCCGAGCACGGCCCCCACACACACTAATGAGTGTTCCAGAATGTGAAGTGGCACGCCAAAGCTCTCTGTTCTGTTCGATCCAAACTTTTGGTATTTTAATGTTACAGATTTTCTCTCCCAAATGTCAGCTTCTCTTTTATTTTTCCTTTCACTGTCACAACAAGCATACAAGTGTTTTCTATGGAATTTTACCAAATGGCACATCTTGCATTTTGTAAACCATATACATAAAAACTCCTCTCTCGCTCTCTGCCAAGTTCTCTCTCGGGGCCCAAGGCTTTTGCTTCCCTGGCCCTTGATTCCTGACTCGAATGCGCAGTCCTCAGGCTTCACCCAGGGCAGGACATTCCTGGGTTTAAAGAAAGACTGAGGGGCAAGTAAGGAAGAATCAGGCCTCGCCCAGCAGGTTGGGGCCTTACATCTCCCCATCCTAGGCATGCCAGTCCATTCCGAACCACCACCTCCTTCTTAGCATCAGCTCTGCCTGGCTGGGAAGATGGACTTAGCCACCCCAGATGACAGAAACGGCCTGACTAAGCGCAAGGGCATAACAGTCAGAACGCCTCTCAGACTTGCATTCCTCACCTGTAAATGCAGCAAGAACCTCAGAGTGCCATCATTATACGGCTTAGGTAAGATAATACACGGAAAGACACTTGCACATCAGCACTTCTGTTCGACTTTGGAAGGAATAAAACAGCCTTTACAGGCCATTTGACTTGAATTGGGCTGATCTGCAGCTAGTGCTGCAGTGGGGGGTGCTGGAAGCCCCGAGGAGCTCTGGAGGCCCCGTTTGTCTTGGGCATAACAGCCACATAAAACCTCCAAGGCCCTCAGACAGACCAATGCCAGCCCTGCCAAGGGAGCCCCTCACCCTCCACTCCTGGCTGGATGTGCTGCATCCCAGAGCACGGGGTTTCCCTCCTGGGCTCCCCAACACAAGGGTGTTGGAAAGCGGGTCAGAGGCTGGGCCGTGCGTGCGAGGCATAGCCAAGACAAGCAGGAGTCAGGGTTAAATTTATGGAGAACATCTTGAGGAAAAATCTTGACCTCCAAGGTCATCTAATCAGGGGGCCAATGACCAGGGCAGGCAAAGGCAGGAGGCCCAGCACCGAAGCCAGGGAAAGGGCTCTGGCCTCCGGAAAGTCTGAAGCCAACAGGTCAGCACCCTGGACAGCGACGTCCCCACCTATGGCAGCTCTGCAGGGCTTCCCAGGCCAGCCACCTTGCAGATCAGAATCAGCAAACAGGGCAGATGGCTGCCAGTCCCTCTTCCCCAGCCCAGCCCCCGGGGCACCAGGGGCATCACAGAGCAACCACAGCGCTTTCTATCACCCCCACATACAGCCTCCGAGTTCTCCCCAGCACAGCATCCAAGGCTTACCCACGGCTGCAGTGCTCGCCAGAGGAGCGCGTGGTCCCCTCCCCTGTGTGGAATCACTGAGAACCGCCAGAGCTGAGTGGGGGGAAGGGGAATAAGAAGAAGAAAAGAGAGTGTGAGCAGGTGCCATGGGGTGTCATTCAGTCTGCGACAACCAGGGCGTGAAGAGTGTCTATAGGTCAGAGCAGAAGGAGAGCAAAGGTGCCAGGAGAAGTGGGGTGGGAACAGAGGACACAGCACCCTCCAGCCCAGGGCACGTGCACACCTACCCTCACCCAGCCTCAGAGCAGACCCGAAGGCACGAGGTTGAGTCACCAACACAAGGGTTCTCAGAGGAAGGCTGGCCCCCTAGAGGCGCCCTGGGGCTCCTCAGAGGTGGCCTGGTCTCCCACTGCTCCCAGGGCCAGAGATTGAGAGGGTGGGGGGAGAGGCCAGTCCTGGACAGAGTCCAGCTCAAGTGCACGGAGTCTCGGGCTGCCCTGTCCCCTCACCGCCTCACCTTTACATCAGCACGGTACCCGAGCTCCGCACTCCTCCCGCAGTCTCGGGCAGCATATTTGCTCAAGGGCTGAGGACGACGCCCAGTCTCAGAGCAGAGAGTGTCAGGCAAATGCAAACACACACTGACTTCTCTTCGCGGTTCCATTCCTGGCAAAGGACTGAGCTCGCCAAGGACAGCAGGACTCTCGAGGGCCCCACGGGCCCGAGCTATGAGGCTGCCGGCCTCACCGTCCTCACACCCTTAAAGACATAGAACGTAGGTGGCCGTGGCTATAGCATGAGGATCCTCACGAGGAAACTGCTCTGCATCCTGACGACGGGGTCACACGAATCTACACGAGGTAAATCGCACAGCGGTGAGCGCACGCCGCCCACACGCGCACTGGAGGGTGTGAGCAAGGGCACGGGTGTCCCTTCCCGCTTACGAGCTGCACACAGCTCTGCACGCAGCTGCCGCTGGGGGCCTGCTGAGGCCACTGGGTCTCTCTGTATTATTTCTCAGAATTGTATGTGAATCTCAATCATCTCAAAATCATGGGATTTAAAAAAACAACATATAACACGGAAACCATCGTATCGTGGAACGAGGGTTTTGTTTTTACAGAGCAGCCGTAAGAAAACCCGAGCTACTTCTCCAAAACCCATCTTTCTGGTTTTCTAAGAAGCAAATGATGATTCTTTTCTTATGGCAGATATTCAAAGAGGCCATGTCCGGCCATGCCCAGTGTGCCACTCAGGGTGTCCTTCCCCTGACATTTGCCCAAGACCCTGAGACTAAGGGCGGATGAGAGAGGAAGCAGGAAGGAGCTGGGAAGGGCTGGTGAGGGGCAATCTTTGGAGAGGAGGCTTCCGGGAGGCCCATGCTGGCGGCCTCCGCCGCCGCCTGCGTGCAGCCCTTCGGGTCCCTGCCAGCAGGTTATTAATATTTTATTGAAGATGATTCGAATTTCAGCTGTCATGGTAAGGTGGTGTTGCTAGGCAACTTTAGTGCCTGTCTATGGATCTGTTTGCATAGCTCTTCCCCCACTCGTGAAGCTCAAGGCTGGGCCCTGCCGCCGAGTCCCACTGGGCTCAGACCACCCCCACCTTCCACGCCTCCCAGGCCTGCTCGGAGGCAGGCAGCTGCCTGCCATGCCAAGGCCAGCGCGCAGGCCTCCCGCTCCCAGCTGTGCGCCCAGCGGAGCCCAGAGCGGCCCCTGCCCCTGGGACTCACCGTACTCACTGTCGTAGAACATGACGAACTTCTGCCAGCGCAGCTCGGTCACCAGCCTGAGCATGACGTCGTTGAGGCGCACAGGCGGCCTCGAGGCCAGCGTGTAGGCCTCCCCTTCGGGGCTGGGGTTCAGGTGGCAGGCAGTGCGTGGTGACCCTCCTGGGTTGCGCTGGACAAAGAGGTGTGGGATGTGCATCGCGTCGGTGAGGGACTGCAGGGCGTTGGCAGACGCACAGCCAGTGGATGTGACCAAAGCCAAAATCCCCTGGGTCATGAGGTCACAGGCTGGAAAGAGAAGTGAGAGAGGCAGGGGTCAGCACGGGGTGATGCTGCACCGGCCGCACCCACCCGGCCCGCACCTGGCAGCTCATGCCTGGGGCCCCAAGAAGTGCTGCCTCCTTCCAGAGACCAAGAGCCCATGCCGGGCCAGGCAAGCAGCTCTCACACACAGTCTCACTGATGCCCTCTAGACGTTCTTGTGCCCATTCAACAGATAAGAAAACAAAGGTCAGGAAAGGCAAAATTATTTGCCGCAGGCTGCTTGAGCAGAGACGGCAGAATAGGGATGCAGCCCACGTCTGCTCCAGAGGCCCTTGGTGCTGCTCCATGGGCCGTCCTGTCTCCTGCCTGGCTGGAGCCCCTGACAGCCGAGAACTCGTTTTTGTTTTTATCTGTGTTTCCCTAAGGCCAAGCCCAGACCAGGGCAATACTGTATGCTCTTCAATAGTTGGCCGGACTGGCTGATTGGGACTAAAGGGAATGAATCACATCAGAAAGTCAACGAGACACTTACCCCAGAGGACCCAGGTTGTCGTTAAAAAAAGAGACAGAACCCTAAGTCTTCTGGCCAAATCCACTTGGTTCATATCCTAAAGCCTGGGTCAGACCCTGCCCAGCGCTGGCTCCAGGGGCCCCGGGTGACTCAGCCACTCGCCAGGAACGAAGGGAGAGGCTCCCGGGTGAGGGCGGGCCGCAGGCCGGGCTGGAGGCGGCACTGGCCTTCTGGAGTCACCCGTAAGCACGAGGGACGCCCCTGTCAGCCACACACCCACACCCCTGGGCATCAGGCCAGCAGCAGAGAGATACACCTTGCATACGGGCACTAGTTCTGAACAGACATTTACCAATAACGCTTTCTGTGACACAGGAGTGTGGGAAAGAAACAGCCTGTGAGTGTCAGCAGGCCATCTGCGGCCGATGGCCGGCTTTGAACAACTTGACAAAGCTGTTCTTTCGGCTGAGAGCCCGGGGAGAAGGAGCCCGAGAGCAGGGAGCACCCTAGAGCAGGCATGGGAGGCACACTGCTCCCCACTCAGGACAATCATTCAAATGCCACAGCTCTCCCGGTGGACCCCTCGGCCTCCAAGCGCAAGGCGGGGCGGGGCAGCTGAACAAGAGACCCCTGAAGTCTCTCGGGGAGTCGTGCAGCCACCCCAGTGCCTGCCCCTCTCACCCAGCTTTCTCTCCCGAACAGAAACCCAACCACGGCTGCTCCTGTGTAAAGCCCTTCGGTGGCTCCCACAGAGCTTTGGGCACAGAGTCAAAGCCCTCAGAGCGCCTTGCAGGCGCCCCGACGCTGTGCGGCCTGTCACAGGCCCCGCTCACTATGCCCCAACCAACTGCCCAAGTCTTGGCCCTGCACCTGCCCTGTTTTCTATTGCCTCTCACATGTCAAGACTCAGACTCTTCACCCCCAGGCTGGCTACGGACCCCTTGTCCAGCACGCCCCTCACCCCACAATTCCCCTACCCTTCTCTCCTGCTTGACCTCAAGCTCTGGGGGACAAGGGCCAAGCCGTCTGCTCACCACCCTCCTGCACACACCGGGCTCTGCACGTGGCAGCGAGTAAAGGCTGCAAAATACGACGAGCCGGGACAGGGTCACGCCCTCTGCCCAGTGATGGCACTCCAGGCCCCTATTTGAACTACAGAAATGGCTTCAGACCCAACACGTTCGAAGGCCACTTCTCCTACTCGTGAACTATTGCCAACAATCTAAGAGACAAATCGGTGAGTGAACGAAATGGCTCCATTTGCTGAAAACATATGCAGCCTTTAAAACTATTCACAGATACTACATTAACATACTGGTAGGAAAGTGCGCGTCATAAAAGTTATGGGGAAATGATACACAATTGTATGGATTTTACAACACCCAGTAAATAACACAGCAGGCATGAAGGACCAAAATGGTAAACGTGGTTGCATGTCAGAAGAGGCCCAGACGTGGTTTTCCTGCTTTTCTGTATGTTGCTAATTTTCCATGCCATGAACAGAGAATTCCTTTAGCAGAAGGAAATAAGCCTCGGTAATGGCTGCATGGGACGCTCTGTAAGAGGAGGGACCGTTCTGTGAGAACGTTCTCTGGGCCAAACATCCTGGCGCGCACTGTATGCCGGGTTCACACTGCTCTCACGGCGCCCGTGTGCAGGAGGCGTCACTGCATCCACTTTCCGGATATGAAGTCATGAGGCCACACAACTGAGATGGCATGCGATCTAAACGCTCCTGAGACGTGTACGCTCACCAGGATTACAGCGAGGTGAAAAGCCACGGGAAAGGCCAGAGAATCCCTGAGAGGCGGGTGCTTCAATGATGGCTTTCTCTTCTCCTCCTGCCCGTGCTCTCTTTAATGGCAGGGCATTGCATCTATAACTTTAAACCAGAAAACTTGCAAAATAAACTGCGCGCCACTGGGGCATCAAGTGAGCCAGCGCTCCAGCCCCCGTCCCAGCCCAGAGCACAAAAGAGCATGCCCTCACTGTAGCCTCATTGGGTGCCAGCTGTGTGCCGCCCCCCTGCCTGGCTCCCTCCTGGGTCAGTGTCTGACTTCGGATGGCAAGCCCTGCCCCCACTCAATACCCTGGTTCTAAAGTCCCTGCCCCCCCCCCCCCCCGGGCTCTGCCCACTCCTCCAGGACTGCCCCTCCTCCTGCCCTCCCCCCATTTGCAAGCCTGGGCACCAAGCAGGGTGGGGGGGGGGGACAAAGAGCAGGATGAGCAGGGCCCCCTTCGCTCTACCAAGGAGACAGACCCCGCAGCTCAGCCTGTGAGGAAGGAGAGAGGAAGCTCCCTGGGGCCTGAGGATGGTGAACTCCTGTGGGGTTGGCATCAGGACCTCAAGGGAAGAGAGATTCAGACCCACAGAGACAGGGGAGCAGTGTGATGGGTGCGGGAAACAGCACCGGCCCGGCAGCAGGAACATGCTCGGGGGGCAGACAAGTGCCTGCTGGTCGCCCTGCCCAGCCCCGCGGCAGCCACGGATGCCAGCTCGGGCGGCGTGGGCTCGGCAGCAGACGCAGCTCCGGAGTCTCCTGGTTCTGGCGGCTCTCTGGTCAGCAGCCTGTGGCCATGGGCACATCTCCTTTCTGAGCCACCGGTTTCTATTTAATTGCAATGACTGCACAGGGGGCATGAAACCATCCGGCTTCTGGTATCTTTGCACCAGCAGAGCTGCGAGAGCAGTGACTTCACGAGGACCACCAGTGCCAACCTGTGCTGGGCACAAGCATGTCAGTTTCCACGTCCCCACCCAAGTCATGCCCAGGATCCCAAGTTACAGCAGTAGTTACAACAGAGGGTGACCTCACCCTCAAAGCCGACAGCCCTCCCCACGGAGGTGGCTCCACTGGCGCGGGGCTGGAAGCCTCCCCAGGCCCTGAGGGAGAGGCCGGCCCTGCCTCAGACACTCCGCAGGGCTTGGCGGGGGGGCTGGCCTCTGTGGTTTCCTGTCTGGTAGATGAGGCGCCACCTCACAGCTGCTGCGCGCACCCTGTGAAAAGTCTGTGTGTGAAGAGCCTCCCCAAAGCCTGGCGCGAAGTGGAGGGGAGAAGCCACCACTGCTACTCACCTCTCCACCCGGAGGTGTCTCTGCACCTCACCAGAAGATAGCAGCCTTTGTCATAATTCTTTGTCTGCAATAGGATAAGGCCATCACGCTGATCTCTCTTGATTATAACAATGCAGGCAGATGGGTTGATAAAGGCTCCCTGAGAATGGCTCATCAGCGGGGACAGTCAGGAGCAGAGCGGACTAATGAGCAGCTTCGAGCCCTTACCTGAGCTCGGTGGCCCAGGAATTGGGAAGAAAGAAGCTGCTCAGAGCTCAGGGCAGGGCCAGACGAGAGGCTCCTGGGCTCAGCCAGCATCCCAGGCTGCCCCGCGGTGTCGGCACCCAGGCCTCTGCAGACTCCGGGGCCATGGCACGGGTCAGACAGGATCTCTGTAACCTTCACCCCAGGTGAGCTTTCTGCTCCTCTGGTGACAAAACTGAAGCACAGAGAGGCCAGGCCACGCAGCCAGAGAGCCTGTGGCACAGAGCCGCAGCGCAGACCGCGGGAGACCACTGGGCAGGGCCCAGGATCCGGTGGGAACCTACCCAGCCCTTCTCTGGGGAACCTCTTGGGGGAGCTCCGCACCCAGCACTGGCCCGGGAAGGAGCCCGCACGCAGAGCAAAGCCTCCCTGGGCGAGGGCGCATCCAGCTCACGGCCCAGCTCAGTGCCCAGACATGAGGGCACCCTGGCACCACTGCTCACCCAGCCCAGGCTTCGAGCCCCAGGGGATTCCTGGAGAAGTCTAGGACCACGGCTGGGAATACACCCTGGATGGCTTGTGCTAGAGGAGACGCACAATCTCTGGTGCCATCGCCTGGGGATGGTGCTGGTCACCGCCACCCCAGCCCTCCCCTCCGCCCTGTGCCCAGAGGCATCATGCCCCAGGGCACATTCCTTCTGCTCCTCCCGGGACCCCATGTGGTCCCTGCAGAGGTGCGGCCCACCCCTGCAGCCCCTGCTACTCTAACACCAGGGCCCCCAGCCTCATGTGCTAAGCAGCCTGTGGGTGGTCAGAGGACAGGACCTTTCCGCATGGACAAGAGGGGACACTCCTCTTGGGTAGAAGCAGCCCAGGAGAGATGCCTCAACCCAAAGGAGCCTGGCGAGGCGCCGCTGGCCTAGGCAGGCAGGCAGCCCGGGCTCAGCCTCGCTTCACAGGAATGGGCTCTCTCTGAGGGTCCAGCAGGCCAGCCCTGGGCACTGCAGCACCTCTGCCTGCCCCCCAAGTGGGACTCCCAGTGCCACCTCGTTACTTCAAACAATCTTAGCAGCCACAGTCCTCCCTCCCCGCCGCTGCTGACACCCTCCCACTGTGCCCTTCCTCTCCTCCAAGCCAGCGGCTCTATTCATATTGGAATCCTAATGGCTAATGCTTTAGATTAAGGTAGCATTTATAAATACTTCATAGTCAATGAATAATTGACCAAACTTAGTATTGTCATAACTCAGAATA